TCCATACTATTGCAATGTCTGTAGGCCCAAACTCGGCCGGAAGGAGCGCGGAGGGAGTAGCAAGAAGACCCAAGATGTCGGTGACGCGTGAGTGTCTCTGCACACGGAGTACCCTACGCGTTAACCACGACATTAATTCCAGCAGTCCGGACCTGCTCGAGCCACACATCCTGCGCTCTCTCAGCAACATCAAGATTGTCTCCATCCACACCTTCTGCTCTGGATGTCACGTTGTGGCCTTGGATGTCGACGGAACGGCGTGGCTCTTTGGTCGGAACGAACGCGCCGCTCTAGGTGTCGCGGGCACCGAAGTCGTGTCGGAGAATGCACCGCGGCGCCTGACGGCGCAGCAGCTTGGGGCTTCGAAAGAGACGCGTTTTGTGTATGCTGCGTGCGGGAAGAACCATACACTCTTGGTTGGAAGCGAAGGCCAGTTGTGGACTACGGGTGCAAATAACGCGGGACAGGTGTGCTGTTACTTCTCGGATTGCGTCACGCCGTAGCATAATTGTGGCCATTGCAGTGTGGGCATCCTGTTTGTCCCGAGGTTACGTCGTTCAAGCTTGTCCAGGGGCCCAAAGTCGCAGGTGTGAAAGAGCGTGTTGTCAAAGCCGCTGCAGGGAACACATTCTCCCTCGTTCTCACTGAAAGTGGTAAAGGTGACGATCTCCGTTCAACGTTCCTATCGAACGACATGCCTAACCCTCTGTAGTATTCGCGTTTGGTAGTGCGGAGAAAGGACAGCTTGGAAACGGTAAGACAGGCGAGCATATTGTCACCGCCGGCAAGACCGCATTCGATATCGAGTCCGAGCCTAGTATGTGGTGTCCGCTTTGTACCATTCATGGTAGCCATACTGACACATCCTGATGTTAATTGTAGTCTTGGTAAGGGGACTTAGCGACAAGAAGATTGTTCAAATCGCATGCGGGCCACAACACAGTGTTGCACTGGATTCAGAAGGGTTCGTTCCCTTGTATTCTCATTAGCCCTTAATTCATTCGTGTTCCCTCAGACTCGTGTATGTGTGGGGATATAACGGATACTGCCGCCTCGGGTTGGGAAATCAGCAGGATATCTTGATACCAAAGCTGGTCCCGCAGGTGATTCCGGGTCCCGTCTTTGTCCCTCTCGTTCTCAGTGCTTGCTTGCTGCAGTTTGCTGGACCGCACGAGCTCACAATGGGAGCTGAGGTGGTGGCTGGACCCTCAAACACGGTCGTCATTGACAAGCAAAGAATGTATTGGATGGCCGGGAAGGTGCGCTTATCAACCCGTTAACACCATAACTACACTAACGATCTCCTATCGATTCAGTGGAAGAATACCGGGGATGGTCCGTTCACTGTTTATCGTGTGTTCCTCTGTACTCACTGCCTACACAGGTTCTTCGGGCCAGCCATATTCTTCTTTCCGCTATTTGCAGGATATCATGTCTGTCATGTTTTCTAATGCCTCATATTGTGGATGATGTTGACGCCACCGTAGGAGCTGTAAAATTGCGCATGCTAACTGTGGAGGAGTTACGCATTGGGCACTCGCTCCCGATGACGATGACAGTGTGATGACCATCGCCTTTGGACAAGCTGCAGCTAACGGTCAATTATCGTATCTCTTCGCTCTTCTTTGTTTCTCATAGTCTCTTTCAGGCGAATTGGGTCTAGGACCCAACGAGGTCAAGAGCGCTACCAAGCCTACTCGTAACCAACGTCTTGATGGTGTTGAAGTTTTCCAGTACGTCAGATAGTTGGCCGCCTCCCTCATACTGATCAATGTGCACTCTGTAGAATCGCCGCAGGCCAGAACACGACATTCTTCCTCGCGAAGCCGAACGCCAAACTGTCGGACCTCCCACGGCACCCAATAGACGTTAACCCGCCCCAGCTGTGTGTCGTGTGTGACCAGGACAACGGAGATGACGATGCCCCTCTTGCATGCGACAAGGTCTGTACTAGTGTTCGTTGGAGGCTATATCATCTGACGGCATTCTCTAGTGTGATCATCTGTATCATTTGAAGTGCTTGGATCCGCCTCTGGACGCTGTGCCCGATGGCGAATGGTTTTGTCCTGAATGCAACAAGAAACTCGAAGTGTCTGGTGCAACTACAGCAGTGCCTTCCAAGAAAGGTGGCAGGGGCAAGTCGAAAAGAAAGAACGATGACGACCTCGAAGTAGAGCCGGCTCCCAAGGCAGGTCAGAAGAGAAAGGCCCCTACAAAGGCCAAATCATCAGGTATGTACACACGGGTCATTCACAGGGCCTCGATCTCACCTTGTCCTGGAAGTCTCGAAACGCAGAAAATGAATACCACGTTCCGAACCTTTCTTCCTATTTATCCTCCTTTATTGTGTTATTTGCATAGCATGTTCCTCCTTGGATGTAATACGATTGTGATAGGAACTAGTGTACGTGTGACAGTAGGGTATCTCGTCCATGATAATCAAGCAAGCACGATGTCCTGTGCTGCTTATTCGCCTACGAACTTGACAAGAGCCCAAAAGCCACCGAATCCGACGGCAAGAACAATGAGGAACGCAGCAATGACGAAGGGGACAACCTCCATGATGGAACTCTGACTGCCGGGATCCATCGGCGCACGGCCCATTGCTGCGAACTTGCCGTTGAGTTCCTGTATCCGCTTCTCCTTCGCGCGCAGACGCTCCTTCTCTTCCGTAGCCAGGACAATGCGTGTGCGAGCATCATCCGGATCGTACGACTGTTTCCCCTGCTCGCCGAACTGGACGAACGATGGATAGTGGTTTTCGCACCAGAGCTCGATCTATGAGACAACATATTCGTCAGAGCCGATTGACACAGGAAGAGAATCCAACATGCCTGGCCGCAAACGACCGCGATCCGGATATAATTGGGATCTTCTGGGACGGCTTTTTGGTGAATCTGGCGCGCATAATCGCGGAAAATGTATGCGACATCGCGTGGGTTTGTCGACTTCATGATGAGCTGTCACAATGTGTGAATACACCCCTCGAAGCCATATCAAACACATTGCTCACCGCGGCAGCTTCCGCTTTGCGGATTTTGATATTGTGCTGGAACATTTCGTAGTTCATGAAGCACAGGTGCAATGTCGCCATTGCCATCGTCTGTGGGATTGCGCAGAAGTTGAACACACCCTGCTGCCGGAGCAGACGCAGATAGTCCAGACAGTCCGTCGCGTGCGACAGTGCGTCCGCTATCATTCCACTCAGTACCCACAAGGCCTGCTGCTTGTTCCCAGGCTTGTACAGCTCCGTCACCTCCTTGAAGGCTGACCGCCCGCACGCCGCGCCGTACTTCTCGTCGCCCCAGATTTCCCGTGGCCAGAAGAATCGCCGCTCGTCCGCGTCCTCGCGGTAGTCGCGGATGATGTTCGTCTTCTGCAGCATCAGACCCATCGAGTTCGCAAGCTCCAACTGCCCAGCCATCCACGACACCTCCTTGTCAGACGCAGCAATTAACCGCGTCAAGCCCTCGCCGACGAGGCCCGCAACGTAGTGGCAATACAGGTTGTAGTCGTCCACTGTCTCGACTGAGATGAGCCCAGCCGTGACGGCCTTGTGTGCATAGTCGGCCATGCCGGCCCCCATCTTTTCCGCGATATCGATGATGACACTCCGATACCTGCGGGACTTTCAGTGGTCAGACCACATTGGGTTGACCCAATAGGGGTGCGTACCGCTCCTCCAGCCGAATCATCTCTTCGCTCACACAAGTGTATTCGACGAGCAGTTGGCGGTCCTTCTCGTCGGGCCCGCTTTCGGTGAATGTCCACTCGGGTGTCACTGTGAGCTTGTGGAAGTCGCGGAGGATAGGCTGCTTCTTTTCGTCCGGAAGCGTCATGTCATCCTCGATTGTGTCTAGGCCTCGCAATACGAGGTAGAACAAGCAGATCTATAGGATGTGTCAGGCACAGCGAGACGTACAAGCGGCCTGCAAAGAGAGTGCTGGTCCAAGGCCATATGGAAACGCACCACCCGCGCGAGATCACCCTCTGGCTCTTTTACGACGGTAGCGAAGCTCCTACTGGTCATCTCGAGGAACTCCCAGCATTTCCGCATGGCCGGACGGTCCCATCCAGTGTACTGGATCTGGTCCCGCGCGGTGATGTCCCTATGGCCTTCATGCCAGAGCTTGTACTGCACGAGGGTGCGGAATTCGAGAGGATGGGTTATGAGCAGGGCGAGCATCGACAGGGCGCCCATTATGTTTTAGGTTTCGTAGAATAGGATACAAGCGGGGAAGAGGCAAGTGCGGGGGGGAGGTTGGGGGAAGGGGTTGGAGATGGTGGCGGTTTCTCAGGAGGTGTGGTACGACTTGGCGGCTCGATATTCATATTCCGCGACTGTTGCGACGCGTCGTGCGCACGCCTGCTCCTTCTCCACCACTGCATCGTCCGCAGACTGGTAAGTTGTAATTTTGATTGAGAGCTGTCCGACAGTCTTTGTCCACTAGAAGTCCAATATGGACGCGGCCATCACGCCCCCGCTGCGCATCCAGACCACTCAGGCAAAGGCACTCTCCTCCCAAGCCGCCCGCGTGCGTCTCGACGACTTTCTAGTGTCCTTTCATGCCCGCAATCTCGCATCCGGTGGTGGAGACTCTACCAATCCATCCAGTTGCAAAGTTTAGCGTCAGCATTGCGCGACGAGCATAACCTCGAGACGGAACGCAGATAGCGTTCCAGGTCAGCGGGTCTAGTAAGTTCACTCGACTCCGTTTGGCTCTGAACTAACTTTCTCGAATCAGGTAGCAATCAGGTTATTGGAGGTTCAGCAGTCGCAGGGCTGGGATCTATGTTGTTTCGATCGAATATCAAATAACATCCATTCAACGTCTTCTGGACTCATTTTCAGCCGCCACATGTACCAGGCGTGGTCAATGATGAGGCCGAGTGCGTAGTAAAACGAGCGCTGACTGGCGAACTTCGTATGTTCGAGAGGAAAGTAAGACTCCGACCTCTCGAGAGTCTCGAGTCCAATATAACCCAAAAACGAGTAAAACGGGCCTGGCCGGGAATTGAACCCGGGACCTCCTCCAATTGAAACTGCTAGCACAGCACCCTAAGAAGGAATCATACTACTAGACCACCAGGCCATATATGGCACCACTCAATAACATTAATATATGCCGTCAATGACAGAAAGACCACTCGCAAAGATCCCAACAAGGACTCACTGCTATAGTACCACTCGTCTCGTTCCATGCAGGGGTGCTGTTATTAAACAACAGGATGACGTCCACTGTAACAGCTTCCCAAGTCGACGTGCTGGACGAGATATTGGAGGGCCTGAAGAACAAGAACCACGATGTCCGAGTGCAGTCTGCCATCGACCTGCAACGCTATGTAAGTCTGTGCCACAGTCATTCCGGGCAGCACTAAACTACTTACCATGCCGTCTTGCAGGTATCTAACTTGGCACCTGATATGTCCTCAGACGCGGCCACGGAGCTGTGGGACAATTCAATAAATCGGCGGCTCTTCGACCTCGTACATAGTCAAACGAATGTGGAGAAACTTGGAGGCATATTAGCTATCGGTATGTCTCTCGCAAAAAGTTTCGATTTTGCAGCGTCGTAAATATATACAGACCATCTACTGGAGGCCGACAGTGAAGCCAAACGCAATTTGTTTCGCTTCTACAACTGGATCAAGTCTCTCCTCCCTAACCCAGACATCAATGTGATGCTCGCGGCGTCCAAGACACTCGGAAAGATCGCTGCGGTCAGCGGGCAGTCGTTTGGTGACCATTTCATGGACTTCGAGGTGTCCGAGGCGATCAAGCTGCTGCAAGCGGACAAGCAGGAACCTGGGCGATACGCAGGTGTTCTAATCTTGAAGGAACTCGCACGGAACAGCGCCACATTCTTCCACTCGCATATAGGGCTTGTCTTTGACAAGATTCTAGTTCCTCTGCGCGATGCGCGCGTCATCGTTCGCGAGAGCGCGGCGGAGCTCCTCGCAGCTTGCCTCGAGATCATTACGAATCGCGATCGCCAGGTTCGCAGCCCGTTCCTGTTGAAAATCCTGCAGGATGCGCAGATGGGCCTCAAGATGCCGCAGCCAGAGATAATTCACGGCTCGCTGCTCACGTACCGAGAATTGTTGTTGCACGGGGGGATGGTCAGCATCGACTGGTTCGGAGCGTGGGTACCATAGACTGATGCTGATATTACGCAGTTTATGAAGGAGAACTTCCTTGATGCCGCAGAGCAAATTCTGCAGTTCAAAGTCCACAGGGATGCACTTGTGCGCAAGATGGTCATTACGCTGATCCCCACTCTCGCTGTGTATGACACGTCGACGTTCTCGGAGCACTATCTGCACAAATCGATGGCGCATCTACTGACACAACTGGAGAAGCCAAACGAACGATCAGTCGGTGCGTTGGGACACGTCCGTGTATGTCGGGAATACTGACCGTTCACTGTAGCGTTTATTGCTATTGGCCATGTTGCCACCGCAGTCGGTAGCGAGATGAAACCTTTCCTGGATTCAATCATGGTACAGATCAAGCTGGGCTGCAAATGCGGGGGCACGTATACTTTGCGCTTGCGGTCATATCATACTCACTGACAGTGCAGGAAGAAGAATGCACCTTCCGAAGAACCGATCTTCCAATGTGTTGGCATGCTGGCCTCAGCCGTCGGCCCCAACCTAACGAAATTGCTGCACGACCAGCTGGATCTCATGTTCGCGTGTGGGTTGAGCGAACCGTTGCGCCAAGCACTTACTGCTATTGCATGCCACATCCCCCCTCTCCTCAAGACTATTCAAGGTATGCTGTCCCGCCTTAATATGTCTCATGTAGACTAATGAAGTATCGTGGAGACCGTCTACTCGATCTCCTGTCATATATACTCAGCGGTCAAGGTTACAAGCCACTTGGAGCGCCTTCGTCTGTTCTCCGTGGTGACTCCGGGCAAAACACAAGAGACCTAAGCATATCGGAGGCGGCGGGAAGCGTCAAGGGCCCCGAACTTATCACGCTCGCTCTGACGACACTCGGGGAATTCGACTTCAGTGGTAAGAACATCACGTGTAGTGATCTCGTTTCCTTACGGTGCTCGTAGGACACGTCTTGAACGAATTTGTGCGCAACTGTGCTCTGCCATACCTGGAGGAGGACCACCCTGAAGTCAGACGTGCAGCTGCGGAGACTTGCTGTCGACTCTTCATACGAGACCCCATCTGCTATCAGGCGAGCAACCACTCGATTGAGATAATCAGCGATGTCATCGACAAGCTCCTTACGGTCGGGATCGCGGATCCAGGTATTAGTTTTCTCTCACATTGAATAGTGTCAGGGTGAGTGACGTTTCTCATACAGAGGCCGATATAAGGCAGACGGTTTTATCGTCGCTTCACGAACGCTTCGACAAACACCTCGCGCAGGCAGAGAATGTCCGCTCTCTGTTCATCGCGGTCAATGATGAGGTATTCGAGAACCGTGTTATCGCAGTAGGTTTGATCGGCCGTCTCGCGGGACACAACCCTGCCTATGTGATGCCTTCGCTTCGGAAGACACTCATCCAACTCCTTACCGAGCTTGAGTATTCTACTGTCGTGTGCGTGGGCTTGTTCTACTCCCTCGATTCATACCATCTCATCATGATTACAGTCGGGGTAGGGAAGAGTGCACGCGCCTGCTCACGCTCCTTGTGAGCGCGACGCAGCGACTTATCAAGCCCTATGCCATCCCAATCCTTACCGTGCTCCTGCCCAAGGCGAACGATGGTAATCCGACCGTCGCCGCTAACGTACTCATGTGCCTCGGCGAGCTCACACGCGTGGGCGGTGAGGACGTGCTACCGCATATCCCGGACCTGATGCGCGTGATCATGGCGCGGCTGGCAGATCCTTCGGTACCAAAGCGGGATGCTGCGTTGCACACGCTGGGACAGCTGTGCTCAAGCACGGGCTATGTCATTGAGCCGCTTGTAGAGCATCCGCAGTTGCTGCAAATTTTGAGCAGGATTCTGCGCACGGAGCAGAAGCAATCTGTAAGGCGGGAGGTCATCAAGGTGCTCGGTATTTTGGGTGCACTGGACCCGTACAGGAGAAAGGTGCATGATGTTCCATGCTATCACCTGTGCTAGAGCTTACGCGTTCATGTAGATCAAGCCAGAAGAAGAGGTCGCGATTGAGATCGCATCGAACCTCGTCAACTCGGCGTCTCGAAATTATCCTGGCGCTTCTGCGACGTCGGATGACTACTATCAGACTGTGGCTATCAATGCGCTATTGGACATTCTCAAGGACCAGTCCCTGAGTGGCCAGCATCATACGGTTATCGAGGCGATCATGTCGATCTTCAAGACTCAAGGTCTGAAATGTGTTACGTTTTTACCCCAGGTACGTCTACGTTAATTCAACTCGTATCCTCGCTCACCCTAACCTATTCTAGATAATACCAGCATTTGCTGAGGTTGCACGAACGTCAGCTGGTCGCACTCAAATCTTCCACCTAGAACAGCTCGCTATTTTGGTTGGCATCATCAAGCAACATGTACGCAACTACATGCCCGACGTCTTTGGTCTAGTAACCGAGCTCTGGGACAACGTTTCGCTCCAACTTCCTTTGGTGTCGCTTGTTGAGGCTCTTGGGAAGGCCCTGGATGCAGAGTTTAAGCCGTTCCTACCAACAATTCTACCACCGATCCTAAAGGTGTTTGACGGCGAGCTAAACGAAAAGATGAATAGCACACAGACGAAGATCTTCGATGCGTTCCTCACATTCGGTGCAAACATCGAGGAGTACCTTCAGCTTGTCATTCCGATCATTGTCAAGACGTACGAACGACAGGACGCATCCACTACACTGCGCAAGAGGGCTATTCAGACTATCGATGGGCTTTCCCGCAGGGTCAATTTCTCCGATCACGCGTCACGTATTATCCACCCTCTGGTCCGTGTTCTGAACCAGTCGAACAATGAACTTCGGATGGCCGTCATGGACACGATGTGCTCTTTGGTCATTCAGCTTGGTTCGGACTTTGCAATATTTGTACCCACGGTGAACAAGGTTCGTTGGGTTTCTAACTATCGAGAGGGAGACTCTGGCTTAAATCGTTGTTTGTCTAGTCTTTGATGCGTAATCGTATCCCACATCCCAAATACGAAAACCTCATCTCGAAGTTGCTCAACGGCGAACGTTTACCGCAGGATCTCAGTGTCTCGGAATCACTGTTTGTCTGTTCCCTGCTAATTGTTTGGCAACGTCCTGACTGTTACTTCGCAGTTCGAGTGACAATTCGAAAGTTGCCGAGTTCTCGGCTCCAGCTGAAGCGACGAAGATGACAGTTAACCAGCAGCACCTGAAGCAAGCTTGGGATGTTTCGCAAGTCTCCACCAAAGAGGATTGGACGGATTGGTTGCATAGGTTGTCTGTGGAATTCATGCGGGAGTCACCTTCTCACGCTCTGCGTGCATGCATGAGTCTTGTCGATATTCACCGGCCACTCGCCAAGGAGCTCTTCAACGCGGCATTCATATCATGTTGGGGTGATCTATACGACCAATACCAGGTACCGTAGACTAATCCCGATATCGTTGCTTGATGCTGATGCTGGTACAGGAGGACCTCGTTCGCTCTATCGAGTATGCTATTACATCAAATTTCGCGCCGCCGGAACTCGTTCACCGTCTTCTGAACCTCGCCGAATTTATGGAACACGAAGAGAAGCCTCTTCCGATCGAAAACCGGACTCTCGGAGACTACGCGCTGAAGTATCACGCGTTTGCAAAGGCACTTCACTACAAGGAACTCGACTTCTTCACCGAAACATCTCCTACAATCATCGAGGCACTGATCGGTATCAACTCCAGACTACAGCAGCATGATGCTGCGTGGGGTACGCTTCTGATCGCTCGCGAGCAATACGATGTTAGCAAACACGAAGAATGGTACGAAAGGCTCGGCCGATGGCAGGAAGCTCTTAGCACATACGAGAAGAAGGCCGAAAAGGATCCAGACTCATTGGAAGTGGCCATTGGTAGGATGAGGTGTCTTCATGCCCTCGGAGAATGGGACGAATTGGCTACGCGCGTGGAGGAGAACTGGGCCAAGGCGAACCACGAAGATCGAAGAGAGATT